AAGCAGTCTTCTCCAGTCCCCATTATTTCCTTCACTGTTCCAAATATTGTGCTCTGTACCCAACAGTCAAAAAGCATCAATGAATTTTCTTCCCCTAACCCTTTATAGCTGAAGTCGTCTAAATATCATTGAATAATTCAGTCAATATCTGCCTCAAAGAAAAAAGCACACATATGCATTACAAAGATCAATTAGTTAACATATACCGGAAGCCATCTGTAATAAGAATAGGTCGCACGAGATGTGCAAAGGACTGATTTTGGTCACATGAGACGGCCCATCAGAAGCACGCGCTAGAGGGGTGTCAGCTTCAGTTGGTTTGTAGCTCTAGCTGTGTTTAGATTGGTGAGTCAAAGCAGCTGAGGCTGTCTGAAACCCCCCCCCTCTTTCGACTTATGCATCACGCATTTAGGTGTCTCCAATATTAGCATGATCTACATGACTGTACATCAAAGATGTCGTCATCCTACATAGCACAAAACAGCGACAATTACCTATACAGCCAAGTAACAAAAATATCCATTATAAAATAAAGTACGAAAGTAAGAAATTAAATTCCGGTCAGCAAATGACTAAAAAAAATTATCATAATACAAATATTATATGGAACAAATTTAACAATAGTAAGCACATAACATCATCTTAAGAACAACATAATAGTACAAATAAACAAAGGGCATAAAGAAAAATGGACCACATTTGCATATGCATGAAACAAAAATTGGATATAACAAACTTAAAAAAATACTGATCACAATAGCCTTCCAAACCACTGAAATCTTTTACAAAACACCAAAAACCTACATCACAAAAGAAAATTGATGATGGAGGTGCAAATAAACTAAACTGTGGAGACTGCACACTAATTATATAGCACAAACAGATCACACACTTCACGAGGGGTTTAAAGAACATGTATGTTGAACATGGAACAATACAGATCATCAGGTAATGCACAATATATCCGAAATACAGGAGAATCCTATGACCCCACAGAAGATACTTGGAAATAATAAAAACAAACAGTAAAAAAAGACGTTAAAAGTATTAGAAAAACACCACTTATACTGTACCCAAAATCGAACCAAAAGCTGAATGATATCCATACAGTCATAACCCCATCTTTGACGCACTATATGAGCATTATTACCAACAGCATTCATCTTGTCCCCTTACGAGGGGAGATTGAAAAGTAATGCGACTACTCGCATTACCCACCATCTGAGGATTCCTGAGGCTTTGGCATTAACCTTGCCAAAGTTAACAGCCTTTCGGTGCTATACATTTTTTGCAGCGACCCACCAACTTCTCAAACATGTGCGTTAGGATAGTTCATCACCACCACGTGGATCATCAGGCTACATTTTAGACTTATAACCTATATACGTCTGATAGTTATTGCAGAAATCGCTTGATTAATAGACAGTTTGTATTCTTAAGGTGCCTGGAGTCAATGTTACAAAGTATTATTAACAGACCATGTGCCTCAATGTGTCGTTGAATCTCACTAAGCTCGAGGATGCTGGCGGCTCACTCGGTAGCGAAAGTGTTCTTAAGAGTTTATATTGAGGTAGGAGTCGGTACATTTTTACCAACTCCGCAGCCCTGGCCACATGTGCAATATGTGGTCATGCATTGTCTTGAAGCAGACACCACCTTTACGTTGTGAATTCCGGTCACTTCTTTCTGAATTATGATCCCCAAATGAATTTTAAGTGTATTTGCATAGTAAACACCACTCACACATAGCTTCTGAGGTAGGCAGTGGTGAAGAATAATGCCCTTTGAGTCAGAAAACAATATCAGCATCACTTTTCCAGATGATGGTGCTTCGTCTCCCACTTTGATCGCCTTCAACCACCCTTTTGTATCCATCTTTAAAATGGTTCAACCACTGAAACATTCTAGCTCGGCTCATTCTTTCTGTAACACCTTTAACGTCTCTTCACCACTTTTTCCGAGCTTCACACACAATTCTATTGCACATCTCTGCCTTAAATCATATGAAATGCCATTCTGTTCCACCACTGCAAAACAGGTATTTTCTACAAGAGCTTTCACAGACACACACGATTTGGAAAATGACAATATTTGTATTAATAGCTAAACAAAACAGAACAAGTGCCATCTCGATGAAGGCAACTGAAGATGAGCAGTGTTGCCAATACGATTATATTTCAAACTCCCCTTGTACCTAGGACATACAGCATGACAATATGCCATGATACACAACGCAGTACACTTCCCCACAATAGATGACATATGAAACCCACAACACCAACTGTAAGTGTTAATGCACAACATAATTCTTACAGAGATTTAAATATATATGAATTATTTTTTACATATATCTTTGCAGATCTCATTTACTCCACAGACATCTATTATCACAGAAGATTGTATCAACGGAACACACAGCAAGAAGCAAGATCACAAAATGCAGTAAACATATCTACTTAGGAGGAACCATACCAACCCGACAACATACGAGCATCCAGCCTTAACATGAAGACACAACAAAGCCACAGATGTTTGGAGTTCAGAGGACACTAACAGTGACAGACATGTAATAAGAAAATGGAATTGGAAATATATTTTTCCTTACACTAACTGTTGCGTGTAACCTTTTTAACTACTTTTAGCAAGTCACAGTGGCGTAGTAGTAATTCAGTGTATATAGGGACATATATTATAACCCAATAACACAATAAACAAACTACCACTTCAATACCATTACAGTGTACATTACCAAATAGTTTGTGAGAACAGACACGTTTACTTTAGCTTGTGCTGTTAAAGTAACGAAAGAAAAAATAAAATGGACAGAGATGTAATTTATAAAGAATACTTCACACCAAAATATAAGATTCTGTCAAAACAGATTTATCATAAGAATTGTAAGTGGAAACATAATATGAATATCAATCTAAAAAAGATGTAAAACAAATTAAATGGAAAATGGAAAGAAATTCGTAGTTGTAAAAATATCCAGATAAACACAATTATTACTATTGTTAACGTCTCTCTCACACACATACACATGCATGAGTGTGTTCGTGCATGCACACATGCTTTCAAACAAGATACAAATATGAACAAGAGCATTATATTTAATTTGTAACATCTTAGACTGTTTAGTATTTATTTACATTTACTGGGCCACAGTTCTTCTACAAGCCTGAAAAAGGAGCCTATGTAACTTTGTATTACAAATTAAAATAATGATATATACATATGTACACTACCCAATTCAGACTGCAATTTTCTATTATTCTTACGGGTCTGGAGCACTACAGGAGCAAATCACAGTTAGGTTATAAAGGTACAGCAATGTTCTCTCTTTATAACTGTTCCACAGCTAATAATAACTCATATTGTAAAAACAACAAACACAAGCATTGTAGAAATGGGCAGAAAGAAATCTCATCTGAGGGCAAGGCTTACCTCAGTTTCATCTTCCTTTATGGAAAGTGCTGATTGTACATTAACCTCATCAGTTACCATGGCAATGCAATCTTTTTCACTTACATCATCATCATTTTCCATTTTGATTATATCCATCTTCTGCTGTTAAATTAAACCTAAATTATAAAATTGTTGGATATCTCAAAAATTGAAGGAAATAGTTGTACTCTGAATAATGCA